CATTAAAGAGGGCCCAACATTACGCACTTTGCATGTTTTCACCCAACGGTTTTTATTGTTATGAGAGTCCATTCCAATTTGCATGGGCTATGTTTTGGGGCCAACTAATGATTAAATCCCTTCCATCTGTTTCGACACACTTCGCTCCCGAAAATGCAACTTGCTTCCTGCAATAGCTCCGCTTTTCTATTGATGGACACATACTAACCTAAACCCTGAACCCTAAATCCCCTAAACCCTGAACCTTCCCCATCAGGGGGCGGTGCGAGAAAGGGGCTATAGAGGACATCGAGGCTTTGAATCTGCAGGAATGGAACGTCCTGCCGCAAAGCCGTACGTACTTAACTAAGGGTAGCCTCACAATGAGGGTCACAGGCTTGAGCCGTAAACCCCAAACCCTGAATTTGGGATTTCGAATTTGTTGACGCAAGGTAAGCTCAAGCACACCCCATACTTACACCGCCGACCGTTTCAAGGAAGCCGGTAATTATACATCCGCAAAAACGGAATTTTATCTTATCTTCCCTCAACACGAGAGCCTAAACTCAGAGCCTCGTACTATGCTAGCTTCTGGTCAATCTAAGTTCTGCACAGGACCTACATCCGCACTCAACTCCGCATATAGCTCCCCTGCAATCATCCTTTTGGCCAGGACTCCCCATCACCCTGCAACCAATTCCCCGAACGGAGCCTTCTTGCACTTCTGTCTCCCAGAGACATACACGGACCTGCTGAGGATTTTGTAGTAGGAGGGCTCTAGTAACCCCAACCCTCTAAAAGTGGCAGCCTATTAGAGTCCCAGTTCTCAGAGCTTTCAAAATCATGAGATCACTGTTCCGCCTAGACCTAAACCCTAAACTCTGAACCCTAAACCCTAAACCCTAACCCGGGTCTAAGTAATTAGAGTACTGCAGGGAATAGCTGGGGTCGTTACATGGCTTATAGGGGTTTGTAAGTAGACTTACCAAGCCTCCCTGACCCTCCAAGTATTAGTGCCAGAAGACATGGCAATGCGGCTTTCAATATTAAAGGTGAAGCTCAAGGGCTAACAAAGAACCCTGGATACTGATGAGTATCACTGTCTGATAAGCCATCTAACCGCAACATATTTAGAGCATCTACACCCCAAGCACGTGTTGTAGATTTTAAGACAACTACTTGGAGGGTCAAAGGGGCCTTAGTGGGTGTCTTTCTAACCCACATACAAGCTATATAGTAAACCTACTATTTAGGTAACTGGAGCCCTAGGGTATTGTATAACAAACCCCCAGGTACCCAATTATTGGGTACATGGACCCTTCGGGTTAGTTTCCTTTACAAAGGTTATGAAATGGCATCCTTAGGCTCCTCGAAAGAGGTCTATAAGGGTTTTAGGGTTTAGGGTTTTAGGGTTTAGGGTTTAGGGACACCAGGGCTTGGCTAGGTGGATCCCCCACCCAATAACAGTGACTATAAGGGATATTAGGGACCATCGTAGGGTCCTTCTATACGCCTACCCAAAACCCTAAATCCTCGGGGATCTCCTAATTTATAGGAATGTATATGGCTTAGGGTGTTTCGGGTTTTGTGGGTTAAGGCTTAGGATTTTAGGGTCTTATGGGTTAGAAAACCAACCTGCAAAGGGTTACACTAGGGTTACTTTGCAGTTCTTAAGGGGATATAGTATAGTCCCGAACTCAAGTAGCCAATGTATCTTCACAAAAAAGTGTTTGCACCTCACATGTGGTATGTTTGTTGTTTTTTGAGGGGCTAACTTACTCTAGGTGGGGTGCTGGGCTCATGGTTTAGGACTTCGGGATTTGGGTTTAGGGTCAATAATTTCGGGATCGGCGGTTCGGGCAAGGTTTAGGATTTGGGCTTCTAGGGCTCAATGCTTTGGATTTAGGGATTTCGGTTGAGGTTACGGCATGTAGGGTTGAAGGTTTAGGGTTAGGATGTTGGGATTTGGGTGAGGAAGCTCTACCCACCTGCGAAATTCCGCATCTCGCATGAATTCTTAACTTGAGCCTGATACTTGATCATAAATTCAAAGTTGGATAACTAGGGGGACTCCTGTATAGACGCCAAATTCCTGGGATCCCTATTATAGCGATCCCCCGGAAGAACTCCCCCTTTTCAGGGGAAACCCCGAATTCAACCTTTGGCACTACAGACAAGATTTTGGGATTTAAGGTTTTAGGGCTTGTGGCTTAGGGTTTAGTGTTTTTAGGCCCTAGGGCTTAGGGCGTAGGGTTTAGGGTTTAGGGTTCAGGGTTCCGGGCTTTAGGGTTTATACGGTTTAGGGCTCAAGTTGTTGGATTCAAGGCCTAGCTGGCAGTCCCGGCTCTTCCCCTGTATTGAATACTCTGCCGTGTGATGCTATGATACTATCAGGGGGAATGTTTGATAATAGGGGATGTGTGTTCATGAAAAGTACAAATGGGGTTACTGGGCTATGTAACTATAGGGTACATAGAACCCAGTTCCCATTATTTAGGTAACTGGAGCCCTAGAAATAGGTTAATAGGAATTGTAGTACAGGTTTTGGGTAAGTATATGATTATTGGGTACTTGGACCTTTAGGCTAAGTGTACCTCTTGGTGACCTCTGCGTACACTTCGGAGCCTCCTCGCTCTGCGCTGCCCCACCGCGGCCGACGGCCGCCACTCGCGCGCGTAGGGAGCCAGAGGCTTGCAGACCTCAAAACTAAGGTTTAGGGTTTAGAGGTTTGGGGTTTAGGGGGTTGGAATTTATGAGGAATTAGGGTTTAGGGTTTGGGGTTTACGGGTTAAGAGGTTTAGGGCTATAGGGCCTACATCAACATGGTTGGAAGGTTTTACATGCTTCAAGGCAGCAGTGTTTTGTTTGAGATTTATCCCTGTCTGAGTCGGAACTCTCCGCACCTGATTCGGTTGACTCACTGCCCTCCGAGGACGAACTCCTGAGTGACTCCTGTAAGCACTTCTGAGCTGATTTGTGGGCCACTTTGGGTTCATGCTTCAACTTCTGGGTCGCACCATCGAAGTCTAACAGTTGATCCATCTGTGCAGACGAGGTTGGTACGGATCGAACAAGTTCTCTTTGATCAGCTTGACCACCACCCTGATCTTTTCAGCAACCGGTGCCACAGCATCGTGAGCATACTCCAGCTCAGACCTCCCATGCTTGCCTATGTGGTACCCAGCGCGCCTCTGCAACTTCCGTGCACCGTTTGACTTAGCCAACCAACGCGATACAGAGTTTATATGAGTCAAGGGTTTAGGGCTAGGGTTATATGAGCCCTGGACTACGGATATGGTATATTCCTTAAGGGCCCCCCTGAGCGCCTAGATCCCCTTATAAGTCTCCCCCAACCTAACCTTAGTGGGTAGCTCATATAAGATGCAATCAACATTTCCCGCATATTTACAGGTGGGTGCCTTTGAAGGAATATATATATATAACTATATATATATGAGGGACCATACCAAACTACCAGAGGGACCCCATGTCCACCCTTTGTGGTCCCTTGGTACCCCCTAATGTTGACAGAAGCTCATATACTGGTTAGGGACTTAGGATTTATAGGGCTCTCGGGACTTTGGGTGTAGGGTTTAGGGACTGGGGTTTACAATTTAGGGATTACAGGGCTTGGAGTTTTAGAGTTTGGGATTTACGGCATGATTGCCAGTTGTGGGGTTGAGGGGTTGGTTTTTACTTCGTTGGGTTTGGGTACGGACCCTACCTGGGGACACCAGTCTGTCCCATCCCGCCTTTCGACAGCGTGGCATTGTAGGATGGCCCTAAAACCTTAAACCCTACACCCTAGGCCGTGGGGTGTGCCGACCAAAAAAAAAGTTTCATTCAAGTCTATGGGTTGCTGCTAAAGACCGTTGGCACAGTCCTCGACAAGACTGGCGTTTGGTTAGCTGCGAATGAAGGAATGGAAAAGAACATGACAACTACGATAATGGGTTATGTAGGGACGGCTATAAGGTTCCTTTCATTCATCCTAGCGAACCAATGGTAAGAAGAACATGTGTTCCAGGTGATTAGCTACCAGGCGGGTACCCCACAGAACGCATATTTCCTTGTATAAGGGCAATGAAACTATACGAGACCTATATCGACCCCCCACTCTCTAATAGCTGTACAAGTACGGTTTCAGGTTTAGGGTTTATAAGGTTTAGAGTTTAGGGTTTAAGGCTTTGGGTTTCAGACTGCGGTATAAGCGGAATAGGAGAGGACGTTACTACAATCATCATTATGCCTTGCGGCCACTGTTACTTGGCGGAACCCTAAACCCTCAACCCTTGCTTGGGGGTCCACCTAAGCTCTAACGGCTTCTCCTTCTTGAGGACCCTCCGGTCTAAGCTTGGAACCTCCGGGCCCCTAGTCCTGGGATCCTCAATTAGGGCTTGGAACTATATTACCTGGACCCCAAAAGTATGTAAAATGATAGCCCAATACGCCTGAAAACAGCCCAAAAGGCTGTTTTTCTACATACTTTTTGTGTTTAGGTATATACCCTATAAAGCCCTACAAGCCCGATTCGGGAAGCAGGTGTGGGGCCATGTTCGGGGCTCAGGTTGGGACCTTCGACTCGAATTTAAAGGCATCCATCAATTCGGGGTCTTGTGGGGGTCCGCGGAATAAGGGCTACAGCGATAGTGTATCTAGGACTACTTTGGCATCCTGATTTGTGGAAATGTCCATCTAGGGCTTAAGGGTGGAGGTTTGGGGCCTAGACCCTAAACCTAGCTCCTTCGTACAAACACAAGCCTTCAAGCCGATGCACGACAAGGGATGTGGGGCGGGTGCATTACGTAGACATTCCTGCCGCGTTACAACTTCTATCATTATCCATTGGGGTACCCCGTATACCCCCAAACTACTACGCCACTCCGTAGTCTGGGGAACCCCAAGAAACTACCCTTCCGTTTGGGAACCGTTCCGTTTGGGAAACCCTAAGATTCTAGCTTCGGAAACGGTGACTGCGAAGCCACAGGCCCAAAACCTTGAACTCTGAGCCTTTCGTTGTCGACCATGGGCCTGCAAATCCATGTAAACTATAGTCTGAACTCCTAGCATCACCCTTAATGGCCCCTATCATAGTCCCCAATTTTATCCCTTTAGACTACAGCTCATGTAGCTACAGCACCGTTGCTATAATGGTCAAAATTTGATGGGCTAAAACGAGAAAATACTTCAAATCAAAGGGGCTAGCAGACTATGGGGGGACAACTCTAAATCCTACAGCTACGACCGTGAACCTGAACTCCGAAGCGTACAGGTACAAACACAGCAGCATTGCAAAGCAAGTGGCGGGAAATAATGCGCGCACTCAGCTGCTCCTCCGATATTGTAAACTGTAGAAACCCAACAAAAACAACTATAAGGTTGAATCCTGTTTGAGGCACCTTATACTATTTTGGTATGAGGAATTTAGGAAGATAATATTACTGCTAACTTGCCCCGTATAGAACCGTGATTCCCTGTTCATTTACCCTAGGCCCTAACCATCAACCTTGAAGCAAAAATGGTATTGGTAGTTGTTTTGAGCGAGTACATTACATGCTGGGCTTTGCGGTGGATATATGTGGTAAGATTTCAATTTATCGTCCCTCGCATTGGACACTACATATATCGACTCACCAATTTTCACACTCACCAAAAACAGATAAACACATCCTACTTCATATGGCCAGGCGATTACAGGTAATCTGAATATTTGGGCTTTTCGGAGTTAAGAGCTCTGAAGGTTGGGAGGGCAGGGTGAGTGGGGAGGGGTTGTGGAGGTTCTGAGCAACCTGACGCAAACTTAGGAAAGTCTAAGCTTAGGCACATCTGAGATATTCTTGATATTACCTACTTCAGGCTCAGGGCTTAAGTCTTCGGGCGTGCCCGTCCTTGCTGCCTCGGACCCGCCTCTACAGGAACAGGGCGTATGCCATAATTATGGGAGTTTCCCCCGAACATCGTGAGTCTACCACTTGAAGCCGGTGAGGCTCATTTAGCAGTGTTAACCCCAGGAATATGGACACTCTGAAGGTAATATCGTGGTCACCAGCTTGCCTATGAGTCTCCTTTCTAGACACTCGCCCTAACCACAATCCCCATCATACTGAAAAACCCTAAACCAACAAGCGCAAACACCGCAAACAAATCCCCAAACCTGCAAGGCCGTGCACTTCTTACCCCAAAACTCAATCTCTTCACAACATTAGCACCACCGTCCGAATCCGACACCCTGCATCCCAGTAATGAGGAATCCTTGTTGGGGTACGTACTACTTGGGACTATAACCTTACTTGACATTTTCCCTTACTGGGCTTAGCAGATACGAACTGGATAGCTGACTGCAAAGCTCACACACTCCAGACATCTCCAGACAGCACCCTAAGCTGGCAAGTGCAAAGCCGGAAACCTCTGCTCGCTGGCAAGACTTCCCCGTGGCTTGTAGCATTACCCTAAGGTTCCATGCAGCTATGTGGTAGTTGGGCTTTCAAGTAATTACATGGGACCTTTGTAGGGCCTAAGTGTTTACTATATACCTATGTGGACCCTAAACCCTTAACCATGCACCTTTTGGGCTATGAGAACTGAAAATATGCCCAACTTCGATCCAGGTCCTCGCACAGCTCAAAGCCGTTTGCCGCCTCTGTTGGCTCCACCTGTGCCATGCGGCTTAAATGGGTTTAAGGGTTTAGGGGTTTAGGGATTTACGGGCTCAGGGTTGAAGGTTTTAGGGTCTTCCCTAAACCCTAAACCCTAAACCCTTGAATTCTAGGGGTTTGGGGTTTTTAGAGCTTGAGGGTTTTAAATGTTGGGATTCCGCTACTACCTTCCCACCCCCGGCCGGGCGCCAAGGTTCCCCCTTCATTAAGTTTAGGGTTTAGGGCTTAGGGCTTGTGGCATAATTAGGACGGCTTCAGGCAGCGCTTAAGGGGGGGTAGTAGGGGGAGCGCTTACACTGTGTCAAGTGGTTTATGGCGAGACCTTTACATTGGAGCCTACCAACTGCTTAGGTAACCCACTTACACACGGTTACAGCGGGGAAAGCACATGAATCCCTGCCACAGACATCTCGCAGCTCAACCCTAGACCCTAAGCCCTAAACCCTAGATCCTAAACCCTATAGACCCTAAACCCTAAACCCCAGACCCTAAACCCTGAACCCTAGACCTTAAACCCTAAACCTCCTGAAGATCCAGAGTGGATAGCAGGCCACAGCAGCTCTCTGGAGGTACCGAGATCCCCACGCGCACACGGTTTAGGGCTTAGGGTTTAGGCTTAGGGTTTAGGGTGTAGGCTTAAAGTTTGGGCCTTGGAAAAAGAGGATTTGGGGCAATTTAGCGGTACGGGTCGAGCAACCTTAGATCCTGAAAGAAGGTGAAGATGCTAAACATGTTAGGTACAACCCGTTTCCATAGGTCCGTCGGGTACTCTGCGAAGCTCAAAACCCTAAACTCTACGTCTCTACGTAGCTCCAACCCCTCAAACTATATCCCTCTTGACTCCTACAAAAATCCGGTTTCGGTTTCATTGTCCATGCATGTCCATGTTCTTTCTCATTTTCCCGAATCCCTGAACAACAAACTGAAAATATGTCCTGCAATACACCCCATATAAACAGATGACGTACGGAATTGAGGTTGCATCCTGCCAGATTTCCCCTACCTTGACCTAAAAAGTAACATGCAAACTAATGACTCCGAATCCTTAAGCACTGCCAAAAAAAAAGCAAGCCTGAACCCTAAACCCAAAAATAGTCTACATCCTTTGTAGGTCAATGTAAAGCCCTGAAGTTCTGCACAGGCGAACCCTCAACTTCCCTCTCTGATGCGTATCTGCCTCGGCCACAGTCACGAAAAAGCCACCGTCCTGTACGCTGTATACCCTCCCTTAAGGTTTGGGGTTCAGGGATTAGGATTCGTGATATGTTTAGGTCGTATGTTGGCATACATATCCTTGCCCCGGGGGGGTGAATGATACTGTCTCCAAAACTTACCGGGAACACCAGATAATAGGCCACATTCATACAAAGACAGGAGTCTTTGCAGAGCCTTTGTTGGGATTCAAGTGAATTCCTAGTATCCCCCTGAATAGCCACTATAGTAGTCCCCTATATAACCCCCCTGTAAGGAGTTCGGACTACAGCCAGGGTTCTGTAAAATAATTTCGCAATTTTGGTACTATTCCCTACATAAACCACCATTTAGGGTGAGGTTGGCTGAGGTCGCTGTAAATTGTCCAGTACCGCTCGTGTTCGTTCGTGGAGCCTAACGGCTTATCTGGGCCTACGGCGTGGCAGCTTTCACATTCGTAGGCGCATTGCCCCAGGAGAATGGCTTGCAACTCCGGTGTTTCTGGCTTAGGGCCCTACTGCAGGTTGTTTCTTTCGGGTTAGGATTCAGGGTTTGGATCAGGGTTTAGGGTGCATGGTTTAGGATTCAGGGTTTAGGGTTTAGGGTTCAGGGTTTAAGGGTTTAGGGTTTAGGGTTCATGAAGGGTTCAGGGTTTAAGGGTTTAGGATTTGGGGTTGAGGGGCCCAAGGCTTACAGCCCAAGAAAGCATTGTCGGTCTCATCCTGGATAACTTTTGATTTGAGTCCAGTTCCAAGTAAGACATCATCAACACCTCCCTCGACGCGCCGTACCCAATCGCCAACGCGAGGCCTAAACCCTAAACTTAAAACCCAACCCTGAATCCCCAAGTCCCGAAAACACTTCACCCAAAACCCTAAGCCCCGACTCCCGAAACACTTATAGTCCCCTTTAAGTACATAGAATATGGGGTATATGGGCATCTTACTATAATAAGCCCAAATCCATATTCTCTCTACTTAACGGGGGGACTATAACCCCAAACCCCAACGCTTCATCCCTGCTCTCTGAACCCCTGACACCTGGACCAGGGTCAGGGTTTAGGGTTAGGGTGTAGGGATTTAGGATTTAGAGGGTCACCTGGACAAATCAAACCCTTTTGCATTTTGTTTATTCCAGGAGCCATATCTTCCGTCATTGGGAGTTTCACATACCCTAGGCATCCAAATAGCCCAATGTAGGGTAAGTATTTACAGACTTTAGAGCCCAATGTAGGTATTATTTGTATACTTGGATCCCCAGGAATAGGATTTCGGGTTTCGGGATGCCTTGGTATTTGGATCCTCCCATGCTTGGGGATACGCAGAGGCATCCGAATTTTCAGAAACCCAATTTTGATCGATTTAGTCTCCACCTTGAAACAACAATCACCCTAAGCCCTAAACCCTGAGCCGTATGAAGCCTAAGCCCTAAGCCCTGAGCTTTAAGCGCTGAACCGTTTAACGTGTTTCAGGGTTCAAGTGCTCTCTGTGCATGAAGCCTACAACAACCGCTTCCGATTTGAGGCAAGACTTTACGAAGATGATGACGCATTATTCCTTATCGGCCTCCGTATTTTAGTCTAGCACAAAGAATATGTTATTGCCAAACCCCAGGGCCTAAACCCTAAGCCCAGCCAATAAGACCTAGAAAAATCATACCACTTTTTGCCTAACATTTTATAGGCACTGGGCCCGGGATCATCCTCCGACTCATGCCATTTTTTGTTTGGGACTTAGGACTCAGGGTCTGGGGCTCTGCTTGCTGAATCATATCCCTATCGACATGCATTCCTGGCCCAGGGGATTCTATCACAGAAAAGCGCTTTAAGTTAAAGACGCAAACGGAACATACAGGACAAACAAAGTAGTACATGGTCAAAACAATTGCTGTTCTCTTGAATCTCTCGAATACCCAAACATCAATTCCCAAGTGCACTTCAAAGCCGAATCCCTGAACCCTCTATAAACCCCTATAGGACCCAAAACGGGAGCCCTAAACCTTTTAACCCCAAAGCCAGACATCCCTAAACCCCAAACCCCTAAACCCCCTGAACCCTAATCCCTAACCCTAAACTTCAAACCCTAAACCCCCTGAACCCTAAACCCTGAACCCCCCCAAACCGAATTTCCGACCTCAATTCGCAGCTCGAAGCGCGCCACGGGGCGTCCACTGTCTGCTGGAGCCACCTTCCTCATCTCATTGGCTAAGGCTTTAAAGGCTTAGGGTTTAGGGTTAAGGAATCTAGGATTTAGGGCTCAGGAAGTTGGGGCTAAGGGCTAAAGGTTCAGGAATTCGCGCTTAGGACATTTAGGGTTTAGGATTTAAGTTCAGGATTTAGGGATTTCAGGGCTTGGGGGCTTAGGTAGGGGGTCATTGGGGGCTTGGTCTCTGTGTTGTAGTTCAGGTTTCTACTCACTGCAGAAAAGGCTCCATGTCAGGATCCAGCGTCCAGGGCCAGTGGCGCGGCACTCCTGCAGCAACACATGTGAGCCATAGGCTAAACTTCTTTAGGCTCTAGACTCACAGACAGACAAACAGACAGACAGACAGACACAAAGAAAGAAAGAAAGACGGTCAGAAAGAGAGGTGGACCGACAGACACACGCATATGGTAAGCGGTCTTATCAACTGCCTAGAAGGCGGGATCATTCGAAGAAGGAGTGTAACGATAAGCCACCTTGAAGCAAACAGCTCAGCTTAAGTTCGTACGAGCGCATAGAGTTCAGAATTTGAAGTTTAGGGTTGGGGGGGGGGGGGG